CCAAGATTGCAGACGTTTGTAATATAACATTTATTGATGGATACGACGCAGTATATATGAATTCCCAGCCCTGAAATTGTACTGGCAACAAGTGTGTCCATTGTTTTTTTTTTCTTGTAGCAAATATAGGCAGTGCGATGTTTGTCAGAACTGGTATCATGCAGACTGCATAGGTGTTTCTAATTCCAGAGAAGGAGAAAATAATTACTGCAGCAAAAATTGTCAGGTACTGAACTATGCTTGTATTCCCTAAGACTGCTGTCAATGAATTATTTGTTTAACCATTTTATACAATATCTTTAATTTTGACATGCAAACTTGGTGTTAAAAATCCTGTATGTTGAAATTTAGGTTGTATACCAAACTTAAGTGACATTATATAAATGTATATAATCATGCTTATAAAATATTTGTCAAACATCAAAGAATACGTAAGATATGTATTGCAAATATTTGTACACCTTATATGTAATCATTAAAATATATGCATTCATTTTTTTTATCATTATTTACATGAAAAGTTAAATTCGGTAATATCTTTAGAAATAATGCTTTTTTAACTTACAAAATTGATAAATCTTAATTTGTCATACCAGTATTTATGAAAATCATAAAGAATTTGTGTTACAGGATCTTGGTAATAGAAAGAGCATTGAAACCCAAGGCTATCTAATTTGTACGAGGGGTGTAGCACCCCAGTATAAATCAGATTGCCAAGTGTTTTGATGTTCTTTCTCTTTTGTATCATAGTCAAAAATTAAAAGCATGTTCCCTGATGTTACAATATGAAACCCCAGATAAAAAGTAACCAATGAAGGAGCATCTGAATATGATATTTCTATCGCTATCCCTTTTTCTGTTGTCACAATATGTAAACCTGAGACAAAATGAACCAATCAATGGGCATGCTCTGCAGTGCGGGTAACTAATACCTTCACTCCAGTTAACGCACAGTGCATGTATATGTATACGATTTAACTATAACACATTTTCAACAGAAAGATCCCCATACTATGATACAAAAAGTGTGTTACTTCACATCAACATAAAACATAAACATCTTATTCAAACTTATTAATTATACCCCCAACACAAAAAGTGGCGGGGGGCTATAATGGATTTGCTTTGTCGCGTCCGTCGGTCGGTCGGTTTATCCGTCTCCATTTTAGTGTTTTTATAAATCCTATACCAATTTAAGGATTTTCTTCAAACTTGGCCCAAATGTTCACGTCAACAAGGGGATGTGCAGAACCTATGTTGCCCATGTGTCAAGTCAAGGTCACAATTGAAGGTCAAATATCAAACAATCAAATATGACAGAATGTCATGTCCGCTCTGTATTCACTTATTGAAAGATTTTCTTCAAACTTTGCTCAGATGTCCACCTCAACAAGGTTATGTGCTAAACCCATGTCACCCTTTTGCCGGCTAAAAGTCAAGGTCACACTTGAAGGTCAAAAATTGACTTAGAAAATATTCTTTGATTTTAACATGTTTTTAATATTTCTGAAACTAGAAACGGTATTTGCTTGAAACTTAAAACATATATGAAGGGTCACAATAAAGATATGCAGGTAAAGTTTCATAACTCTGTATTGCATTTTAACAAAGTTATGCCCCTTTTTAAGTCTTCAAATTTACATACAATCAATACTAGACATTATGTCGTGTCCGCTCAATGAATTCTATACTAATGGAAGGATTTTCTTAAAACTTTACCCAAAAGTTCACCCCAACTAGGCAATGTGTAGAACCCATCTTACACTTGTGAAAGCTTCAGGTCAGGGCCACACTTCAAGGTAAAAAAATTCACTTAGAAAATGTTTAGTTCATTGGAAAAATGAAAGGTTATTTGTGACTGTTTCAAACATTATTTGACAATATATATTAATACTATTACCTGTACATTCACCAGTGATAATTTCGTTTTATGTATATGTATTTATGCCACTAAAGTTATTCCCTTTACCACCTTTCCAAGTCGTCTTCTGTCAAGGACATTGATGGGGGTATGAATCGCATTCAGCGATAATTATAGTTTTATGTGATGTTAATAATGAATTCATACAAGACTTTAGAATTTGTATTATTATTTTGCTACTGAAAGGTACCTTCTAATCAAATGCTATGACATTTATGTATATATATTTAGGTGGTAGTTATAAGTGATGGAGAACAAGCAAATGATCAAGATAGAAAACAACCAAGTGATAGTGATAGTGGTAAGACAGTCATTAAATACATTACAAATTACGTTACATTTTGCATCAGTTTATCTATTTTTGTGCCCCCACGTTAGTGGCGGGCATTTACATTTACCCTTGTCCGTCCATGCCATTTTGTTCAGATTATGTTGTACTCAAAATGATTACAACACATATCTGAATATGGAGTAACTATTCTTTCCTTGAGCTGTAGTCAGTATTCGATTAGGTTAGAAAAATTACATTGTTGAGTACAACTAAAATACAATATCCTGTCATAAAAAACATAGGAAATATTTAGAATCAATTTAAAGCTTTTCTGCTCCTAACGGCTTAGTCAAATACTATCCTCTGTTACCAGTTATTTAATTTTATAACCAGTTTTTGGCCAAAAACATACCATAACCGTTTAAACGGATTAATGTGACACCCCTAATAATTACAAAATAGCTTTTCGTTAACCCTCTTCCTCATATATACGTGAAAGAACGCAATTACGACACCCCTCCCCCCCCCCCCCTTTTAGGCCTCAAAATGTCCTCTTTGGGCCCCAAACAAAAGTTTTCATTTTAGAAATGTTGATAAAAAAGAGATCAATTTTTTGGCGACACCCCAAATCAAAAAGGTACATCAATGGGTTGCCATAAAGGGGATGTGCTCCCTTCTGTCTCAGGGGTTTGAAGGGGGCAAGCAGCCATCCTCATCGCCAAGGAAATTTTGGACATATGACAGGGTGAATTAGACCTCAGGGTAATTTGTAAAGTAAAGTGTAACCAACACTGAAAAGCCTTTTACTCTATCCCAATCAATTGAGAAGTTGCAGCGCTTTGAAATCAGTTTTGATGGGAAAAAAGCAATGCAAAACAGTGATTTTGGTAATTTTGAGAAGTTGCCCTGTTGCCATGGTAACAGAAAATTATAGATTGAGCATGCTGTTACAGAGGCTATGGTCCAGTCAACACTTATGCCATGTTTCATCAGTACTGAAATATTTTTCATAGTTTCATAGCAGTTTAAACTTGTAACAGTAGGCTTTTCAATAAAAACGTCCATTTTTCACAATACACTCATGCAGTAAAGGATTAAGTTTACATTGCTTTTTACTCTTTTCAAGAAACAATGTATATAAAAAATTGGTATTGTGTTGGCACTTAAAAGAAATAATTCATAGCCACAAAAAATAATTATATCTCAGAGAAATATTTGAGATCATAATGTTTCAACATGATTTACTTTCTTTTTCAGAAGAAGAATTTGGAAGACATGACAAACAGGATGAAACGTTAATACCTTTCAGTTACATAAACTCACAGGTATTATTACTTTATTTGACATATTCAAAGTTTCCACTAAACAGCAACATTAACGTAATCTATTGTTAGCATATATTTTTGCTGGAAACATTCTGCAGTACATGTAATTATGTACACTCCAACAGGGGTGTAAATAGAAATACTGTGAATCTGTTTAAACACTATGTTGTTTATTGCCCAAACAATCACAATATCTAGAGGTAAATGATGAATTAATAACTGTAATTCATTAAATTTTGTGGGCCTGAAGTTTCATGGGTTTTTAAATAGAGATACTTTTGTGGATTTTCATTTTGTGTGGATATGTGTTTTTAAATAAAAATTTTGTTACTAAAATGCATGGATTAAGCGTTCCATGAAACCCACAAAAAATTTGTTTCACAAAAATGAAACTGAATTTGTATAGTACTCTTTTTATTTTTTCAGTGGGAAAACATGACTTCATTTCTGACCGACATATCATCCTGCGACCAAAAGCACTGGTATGTAAACTTATTTAACATGCAATTAGGATATTAAAGATCATATCATGAGGGTAACACTTACGAGCATGCCAAAATATCTCAAAACCAATGTACAGGACAAATTATTATTGAGCATGGCTGTAAAAAAATGTGTCTATTTTATTACATAATTCTTAATAGATTTTATAATACTTATAAAATTATTCTCTGAATGCATAATTACACAAACAACACTATTTTTTTTTTCAATTTTATTTTAACAACAATAAAGATATTCTTAAACAATAATACCCATACATACAGGAAAAAGTATAATTTATTTTTAGCTCAACTTTCTGAAGCTACTGTAATGACATTCTTGTTGGCATTAGCGTTGCTAAACTCTTGTGGTCCTTTTTCTAAAAAACTGTTAAAGCTATGCACTTCAAACTTGGTATACCTATTATTTGTCTGGAAAGGAAGACATTTCTAAAGGCCGATAATCCTGAAATTATTGTTTGCAAAGTAATGCCTCTTTTTCCACTACAACTTTTGTTACAATGTGATAAATCTGTTGAAGTCCAACTAAACATTTCATATATTTTAAAGTACTTTTGCACATTTTTATGATACGACAATCAAGCTCAAGATTCTTTTTCTTTTATTATTAGTGCATATAAATTTCTGTGGCTGCATATTTCTGAATGTAATGAAGCTGTTAAAGCAGTTTTCAAAAATCAACAACCAATTAATTATTGAAAGAAAAAAATTTGGAAAAAAAAGAACAATTACCTAGAACTATGATTAAATATTTATACATGCAAAATATTGATTTCTCCACAGCAAAGAAAAGAGCCATGAGAGGCATCACCTTTTCAATGAGAACTATGCAAATGAAATCAGAAGAAAACATTATTACGGCATTAAATACTTCAAGACCAAAGTAAGATATATGTCATGTGGTTGATAATTTCAAGTCTTCAGATATATTTATGTCTCCCCCACCTCGGGGGGAGACATATTGTTTTTGCCCTGTCCGTCAGTCCGTCCGTCAGTCCGTCCGTCCGTCCGTCAGTCCGTCAGTCCGTCCGTCCATTCTTCGTTTCCGGACGATAACTAGAGTTCCTTTTGACCTACAGCTCTCAAACTTCATAGGATGAATGGTCTTATTGAGCAGATGATCCCTATTGTTTTTGGGGTCAGTAGTTCAAAGGTCAAGGTCACAGTGACCGTTGGTCAATTTCTCGTTTCCGGATGATAACTAGAGTTTCTTTTGACCTACAGCCCTCAAACTTCATAGGATGATTGGTCTTATAGAGCTGATGATCCCTATTGTTTTTGGGGTCAGTAGGTCAAAGGTCAAGGTCACACTGACCGTTGGTCAATTTCTCGTTTCCGGATGATAACTAGAGTTCCTTTAGACCTACAGACCTCAAACTTCATAGGATGATTGGTCTTATTGAGCAGATGATCCCTATTGTTTTTGGGGTCAGTAGTTCAAAGGTCAAGGTCACAGTGACCGTTGGTCAATTTCTCGTTTCCGGATGATAACTAGAGTTCCTTTTGACCTACAGCCCTCAAACTTCATAGGATGATTGGTCTTATAGAGCAGATGATCCCTATTGTTTTTGGGGTCAGTAGGTCAAAGGTCAAGGTCACAGTGACCGTTGGTCAATTTCTCATTTTTGGATGATAACTAGAGTTCCTTTTGACCTACAACCCTCAAACTTCATAGGATGATTGGTCTTATTAATCAAATGATCCCTATTGTTTTAATGGTCAGTAGGTCAAAGGTCAAGGTCACAGCGACCGTTGGTTAATTTCTCCTTTCCGGATGATAACTAGAGTTCCTTTAGACCTACAACCCTCAAACTTCATAGGATGATTGGTCTTATTGAGCAGATGATCCCTCTTGTTTATGGGGTCAGTAGGTCAAAGGTTAAGGTCACAGTGACCATTGGTCATTTTCTCATTTCCGGATGATAACTAGAGTTCTTATCAGTGAGGACATTTAACTATTATTGATATATCAGTGATATATCAGTTGTCTGGTTTTATATACTCTGTTCTTTTATCTCCATTTCCATTCCTGTTTCCATTCACAGTTATTCTCAGCAGTGGGGGAGACATGCGCTTTTTTACAAAAGCATCCTCTAGTTTTATAATCTCATGTCTTTGAGCTTTTTCTTTGTACTCTCTAACCGATTATACACAGTACACTTCATTGTAGGATTTGAAAACTGTTTTTTTGTGAAATAATCGTCTCGGCTTGACCCCTCAACACTTTTTTTGCACAAACATCACTCAATGTTGCCCCAGACACATATAATATAACATATCATATAATATAACTATAACACAATACCTACATACAACTTTTTTTATCACATTATGTCTCAATATATCTAATTATTAGTACCTACCTACACTGGTGGGCCACTACTATATGCTTTTTAGCCATACCATATCACTTTATAAATACCTACCTACACTGGTGGGCAACTTTTTTTTATCATATATATATTCTCTCATTATATCTAATTATTAATACCTACCTACACTGGTGGGCCAATTCAGTGGAGGCCCACTTTTACATACCATGAAGTCTTGAATTATCTAATTATTAATACCTACCCACACTGGTGGGCCAGTACTATATGCTTTTTAGCCATACCATATCACTTTATAAATACCTACCTACACTGGTGGGCAACTTTTTTTTATCATATTATGTCTCAATATATCTTATTATTAATACCTACCTACACTGGTGGGCCACTACTATATGCTTTTTAGTCATACCATATCACTTTATAAATACCTACCTACACTGGTGGGCAACTTTTTTTTATCATATTATGTCTCAATATATCTTATTATTAATACCTACCTACACTGGTGGGTCACTACTATATGCTTTTTAGCCATACCATATCACTTTATAAATACCTACCTACACTGGTGGGCAACTTTTTTTTATCATATTATGTCTCAATATATCTTATTATTAATACCTACCTACACTGGTGGGTCACTACTATATGCTTTTTAGCCATACCATATCACTTTATAAATACCTACCTACACTGGTGGGCAACTTTTTTTTATCATATTATGTCTCAATATATCTTATTATTAATACCTACCTACACTGGTGGGCCACTACTATATGCTTTTTAGTCTTACCATATCACTTTATAAATACCTACCTACACTGGTGGGCAACTTTTTTTTATCATATTATGTCTCAATATATCTAATTATTAATACCTACCTACACTGGTGGGTCACTACTATATGCTTTTTAGCCATACCATATCACTTTATAAATACCTACCTACACTGGTGGGCAACTTTTTTTTATCATATTATGTCTCAATATATCTTATTATTAATACCTACCTACACTGGTTGGCCACTACTATATGCTTTTTAGCCATACCATATCACTTTATAAATACCTACCTACACTGGTGGGCAACTTTTTTTTATCATATTATGTCTCAATATATCTTATTATTAATACCTACCCACACTGGTGGGTCACTACTATATGCTTTTTAGCCATACCATATCACTTTATAAATACCTACCTACACTGGTGGGCAACTTTTTTTTATCATATTATGTCTCAATATATCTTATTATTAATACCTACCTACACTGGTGGGTCACTACTATATGCTTTTTAGCCATACCATATCAATTTATAAATACCTACCTACACTGGTTGGCAACTTTTTTTTATCCTATTATGTCTCAATATATCTTATTATTAATACCTACCTACACTGGTGGTCACTACTATATGCTTTTTAGCCATACCATATCACTTTATAAATACCTACCTACACTGGTGGGAAACTTTTTTTTATCATATTATGTCTCAATATATCTTATTATTAATACCTACCCACACTGGTGGGTCACTACTATATGCTTTTTAGCCATACCATATCACTTTATAAATACCTACCTACACTGGTGGGCAACTTTTTTTTATCATATTATGTCTCAATATATCTTATTATTAATACCTACCTACACTGGTGGGTCACTACTATATGCTTTTTAGTCTTACCATATCTCATTATAAATACCTACACTGGTGGGTCACAATAACATACTTTCTTGTCTTGAAATATGTAATAATTAGGACCTACCTTCACTGGAGGGCAACTTTTTTTTATCATATATATATTCTCTCAATATATCTAATTATTAATACCTACCTACACTGGTGGGCCACTACTATATGCTTTTTAGTCTTACCATATCTCATTATAAATACCTAAACTGGTGGGTCACAATAACATACTTTCTTGTCTTGAAATATGTAATAATTAGGACCTACCTACACTGGAGGGCAACTTTTTTATCATATGTATATTCTCTCAATATATCTAATAATTAATACCTACCTACACTGGTGGGCCACTACTATATGCGAAAATATTTAGCCTCACCATATCTCATTATAAATACCTACCTACACTGGTGGGCCACAATAACAAACTTTCTTGTCTTGAAATATGTAAAAATTAGGACCTACCTTCACTGGAGGGCAACTTTTTTTATCATATATATATTCTCTCAATATATCTAATAATTAATACCTACCTACACTGGTGGGCCACTACTATATGCTAAAATTTTTAGCCTCATCATATCTCATTATAAATACCTACCTACACTGAGGGGCCACAATAACATACTTTCTTGTCTTGAAATATGTAAAAATTAGGACCTACCTTCACTGGAGGGCAACTTTTTTTTTATCATATATATATTCTCTCAATATATCTAATTATTAATACCTACCTACACTGGTGGGCCACTACTATATGCTTTTTAGTCTTACCATATCTCATTATAAATACCTACACTGGTGGGTCACAATAACATACTTTCTTGTCTTGAAATATGTAATAATTAGGACCTACCTACACTGGAGGGCAACTTTTTTATCATATATATATTCTCTCAATATATCTAATAATTAATACCTACCTACACTGGTGGGCCACTACTATATGCTAAAATTTTTAGCCTCACCATATCTCATTATAAATACCTACCTACACTGGTGGGCCACAATAACATACTTTCTTGTCTTGAAATATGTAAAAATTAGGACCTACCTTCACTGGAGGGCAACTTTTTTTTATCATATATATATTCTCTCAATATATCTAATAATTAATACCTACCTACACTGGTGGGCCACTACTATATGCTAAAATTTTTAGCCTCACCATATCTCTTTAAAAATACCTACCTACACTGGTGGGACACAATTACATATTTGTCTTGATATACGTAATTTTTAGGACCTACATACACTGGTGGGCACCTTTTTAAATATATATTATTTCTCAATTTATCTTAAAACTAATACCTACCTACACTAGAGGCCCACTTTAACATACCATCAAATCTTGAAATATCTAATTATCAATAGCTATCTACACTGGTGGGCCAGTAATATATGCTTTTCAGCCATACCATATCTCATTATAAAAACCTACCGACACTGGTGGGCCACAATAACATACTTTCTTGTCTTGAAATATGTAAAAATTAGGACCTACCTTCACTGGAGGGCAACTTTTTTTATCATATATATATTCTCTCATTATATCTAATTATTAATACCTACCTACACTGGTGGGCCAATTCAGTGGAGGCCCACTTTTACATACCATGAAGTCTTGAATTATCTAATTATTAATACCTACCCACACTGGTGGGCCAGTACTATATGCTTTTTAGCCATACCATATCACTTTATAAATACCTACCTACACTGGTGGGCAACTTTTTTTTATCATATTATGTCTCAATATATCTTATTATTAATACCTACCTACACTGGTGGGTCACTACTATATGCTTTTTAGCCATACCATATCACTTTATAAATACCTACCTACACTGGTGGGCAACTTTTTTTTATCATATTTTGTCTCAATATATCTTATTATTAATACCTACCTACACTGGTGGGCCACTACTATATGCTTTTTAGCCATACCATATCACTTTATAAATACCTACCTACACTGGTGGGCAACTTTTTTTATCATATTATGTCTCAATATATCTAATTATTAATACCTACCTACACTGGTGGGTCACTACTATATGCTTTTTAGCCATACCATATCACTTTATAAATACCTACCTACACTGGTGGGCAACTTTTTTTTATCATATATATATTCTCTCATTATATCTTATTATTAATACCTACCTACACTGGTGGGCCAATTCAGTGGAGGCCCACTTTTACATACCATGAAGTCTTGAATTATCTAATTATTAATACCTACCCACACTGGTGGGCCAGTACTATATGCTTTTTAGCCATACCATATCACTTTATAAATACCTACCTACACTGGTGGGCAACTTTTTTTTATCATATTATGTCTCAATATATCTTATTATTAATACCTACCCACACTGGTGGGCCACTACTATATGCTCTTTAGCCATACCATATCACTTTATAAATACCTACCTACACTGGTGGGCAACTTTTTTTTATCATATTATGTCTCAATATATCTTATTATTAATACCTACCTACACTGGTGGGTCACTACTATATGCTTTTTAGTCTTACCATATCACTTTATAAATACCTACCTACACTGGTGGGCAACTTTTTTTTATCATATTATGTCTCAATATATCTTATTATTAATACCTACCTACACTGGTGGGTCACTACTATATGCTTTTTAGCCATACCATATCACTTTATAAATACCTACCTACACTGGTGGGCAACTTTTTTTTATCATATATATATTCTCTCATTATATCTAATTATTAATACCTACCTACACTGGTGGGCCAATTCAGTGGAGGCCCACTTTTACATACCATGAAGTCTTGAATTATCTAATTATTAATACCTACCCACACTGGTGGGTCACTACTATATGCTTTTTAGCCATACCATATCACTTTATAAATACCTACCTACACTGGTTGGCAACTTTTTTTTTATCATATTATGTCTCAATATATCTTATTATAAATACCTACCTACACTGGTGGGTCACTACTATATGCTTTTTAGCCATACCATATCACTTTATAAATACCTACCTACACTGGTGGGCAACTTTTTTTTATCATATTATGTCTCAATATATCTTATTATTAATACCTACCTACACTGGTGGGTCACTACTATATGCTTTTTAGCCATACCATATCACTTTATAAATACCTACCTACACTGGTGGGCAACTTTTTTTTATCATATTATGTCTCAATATATCTTATTATTAATACCTACCCACACTGGTGGGCCACTACTATATGCTCTTTAGCCATACCATATCACTTTATAAATACCTACCTACACTGGTGGGCAACTTTTTTTTATCATATTATGTCTCAATATATCTTATTATTAATACCTACCTACACTGGTGGGTCACTACTATATGCTTTTTAGCCATACCATATCACTTTATAAATACCTACCTACACTGGTGGGCAACTTTTTTTTATCATATTATGTCTCAATATATCTTATTATTAATACCTACCTACACTGGTGGGTCACTACTATATGCTTTTTAGCCATACCATATCACTTTATAAATACCTACCTACACTGGTGGGCAACTTTTTTTTATCATATTATGTCTCAATATATCTTATTATTAATACCTACCTACACTGGTGGGCCACTACTATATGCTTTTTAGCCATACCATATCACTTTATAAATACCTACCTACACTGGTGGGCAACTTTTTTTTATCATATTATGTCTCAATATATCTTATTATTAATACCTACCTACACTGGTGGGCCACTACTATATGCTTTTTAGTCTTACCATATCTCTTTAAAAATACCTACCTACACTGGTGGGCCACAATTACATATTTTCTTGTATAATTGTACTACGTTACTAATGCAATAAGGGCTATTTTAGCATATTTTCAGTCTTTTTAGTACATGGATTGTAAGTGTCATAGATAATGCATAAATTGCTTCCTTATGATTTCTTGACAATATCATTCTTTTAAACACATTTTCTAATTTTTAATGAAAATTAGCATGAATCTAAAGGTGTCCTGGTTTGAATAATTTGAAGAATATTTAAGTACAAATTTATAAATCAAAGAATATTAGCAGAAAGTTCTATTTATGAAATTGATACTCTTTCTTAATATAAATTCTTTTGATACTCAACTTGATAATTTTATATGAAAACTTTACAAAATGAATATTTTGTTTTGTTGGAGATTAAGTAAAAAATACATGTAAAGCATAATATCTTATGTTTCATTTTGTAATAAAATTTGGGAAAAAATGCATATTAGGCTAACTTCTTTTGAATTGAAATAACTTAGTCCTCAACAAACCTCAATTTCATATGTTGCATCATATTTCTGGTGTAATATTGTTCATAATATATGGGACACCTGGTTTGACCATTTTATAACGTCTAATTTTGTGTTTATTTTATTATATTTTCCTTCAGACTGTAGAACAACTGCATGAACAATTGCAGAATCAATTTATGTATCAAATGCTGGACCCAAAGTAAGTTTGATATTCACAATTTTTGGCCATTACACACTTATTCATATGATTAAACATACGTATTTCCAGCACATGTTACCAGTTACATAAATGATTTAATATACAAATAATATGCATTTATTTTATCATACAAAAAAATGAATAACAAATATTATACTGCAGTTAACTTATTTATACAATCAAACTTAACATCAAATTGTTCCCAGATGATAAATAAGTTTTGAAAAAAGCATTTCTAACACTAAATTGGTTAGTATTTGTTATTTTACAATGTTAAAAAATTAAAAAGGTCAAGTGGCTGCTTCTTTTTTGAGCAATTTAACTTTTTGAATGCTTACTAATGAAAAATAACCTACACTTACAACAATCAGTTTTATGGTTATATTTGCAGGTATCCAGCAACAGGACTAAGAATCCAGATGATTAGGTCTGTGCAGACAAATTCTTGCCTTTACAAGTTGTTCTGCAGAAACCAAATGTATGTCCCTGAATGCTATCCTTTAAATATTACAAGTCATGTTTAATATTGTTTACATAGGAAACACTCACATTCAATATAATACCTAGAAAATAAAAAAACTGAGGTACAATTAATTACCTTTTAACTGAAAAAAAAAATGCATTTATTATCACTGGTGAGAGAATTTTTATTGCTAAATTTAACATCATTGTAGATAGGGATAAAATAAATCCATGGCACTAACATGTTACAAAATTTTACAAATGAAGATGTAAACCTGTCTGAAAAAAAAATCATGGCACTAAAATGAAATGGCTGGGGCATATTGTGTTACCCTGTTCCGTCATTCCAAAGTTTCCTCATTCCATCATCATCAGTTTCTGTTCATTATTCTTGTAATATTTTCACACATTCAACTCAAATTTGACATATGGATATGTCATAGGAAAATGCAGGCTTAGTTCGCATTTAGTCATTGTTTGAGGATTTTTGGGATATTTATACCCCTTCAACTTAAAAAAATTTCCATTCATTATCTCCACAAATTTACCATATTCAACTCAAATTCAATACATGGATATGTCATAGGAATACCCTGGCTTAATTTAAATTTGGTTGTGGTTTGATTATTTCTGACAGAGTTATCCCTCTTAAACTTTGGAAAAAAAAATTATTATTTCCGTCAACGGTTGTACACATTCAACTAAAATTTGACATATAGGTATGTCTAAGTAATTACCCAGCCAAGTTTGAATTTGATCATGGTACGATGATTTTGCACAAAGTTATCTCTCTTGAACCTTGAAAAAATTTGAAATTTTCAGTTTCCAAACTCTTAGTTTTGTGGAAATGTATGTAGTCATTATCTCGGCTACAAATATGCAGTTTGCAAAAGGTTAACACTGAATATTTTCATGACCTTGAAGCTTTGTATAAAAATGGTTTATGTTTAAATTGAATAGTTTAAGGGCTTAAAACAACTTAAAATGAAAAAATATTTTGTGCAAACAAATTTGGAATTTAATATTTTCATAAAAATATGAAATTATGGCTGCATGTGAGGTATCCGTGGTGAGATGATAAATTTTAAGTTTGAAAATTTAACAAGTTGATGTAAAAATTATGTATGTTTAGTACATTTGTTCTTTTGTTTACTACAAATTATTTTATTGTTTTGGACAATCACTGAATAAGTATTTTGCTGATTTTTTACTTATCTTTATTATGCTACTTTTATCCACTTATAGAACACATAATATAAAAGATGTAGCACCATTTTGTATTAGTAATGGTTGTATTATTTCAGAATATCACACAGTTACTTGGCTTATCTGCTTCTAAAGGAAGCCCTGGCTTTCATTGTCGCCACCTACAAGACTATAAGTTACACAGAGGCAGATAAAAGCTGCAGTGAGACAGAGAAAGATATTAGGGATATAATCCCTAAACTGAAAAAAAATTGAGGCTGTCATAGACCACATTGTTTCAACTGATTTTCTTTAAATATATTTATCACAAAGTCTTACACAAAACAAGTTGACTTAGTTACAAGATGTGTATGATATGCTGAAGATATTATGTAATATTCGTGATAGGTTCATATTGGATAGTGGGCATGCAATTTTGTGTTTATAATGATGTCATTTAATATGCAAGTCATTTTGATGATATTATATAGTGGGCATACAATTTTGGGTGTATAATGATGTAATGCAATCTGTAAGTCATTTTGATAATATTATATAGTGGGCATACAATTTTGGGTGTATAATGATGTAATGCAATATGTAACTCTTTTTGATGATATATAGTGGGCATGCAATTTTGGGTGTATAATGATGTAAAGTAATATGTAAGTCATTTTGATGATATTATATAGTGGGCATACAATTTTGGGTGTTTAATGATGTCATTTAATTTGTAAGTCATTTTGATGATATTATATAGTGGGCATGCAATGTTGGGTGTATAATGATGTAATGTAATATGTAAGTCATTTTGATGATATTATATAGTGGGCATACAATGTTGGGTGTTTAATGATGTAATGCAATATGTAAGTCATTTTGATGATATTGTATAGTGGGCATGCAATTTTGGGTGTTTAATAATGTCATGTAATATGTAAGTCATTTTGATGATATTATATAGTGGGCATATAATGTTGGGTGTATAATGATGTAATGCAATATGTAAGACATTTTGATGATATTATATAGTGGGCATGCAATTTTGGGTGTTTAATGATGTAATGCAATCTGTAAGTCATTTTGATGATATTGTATTGTGGGCATACAATGTTGGGTGTTTAATGATGTAATGTAATATATAAGTCATTTTGATGATATTATATAGTGGGCATACAATGTTGGGTGTTTAATGATGTTATGTAATATGTAAGTCATTTTGATGATATTATATAGTGGGCATACAATATACAATTATTGACTAGTGAGCCATTGAATATGATGTGATATTCACCGGCAGATGACATATTGACCGAGGCAATAGCCGAGGTCAATATGACTTTCTGCCGGTGAATATCACATCATATTCAATGGCTCACTAGTCAATAATTGTTTTATTATATGGGCCCAAGAAATAAAAAAAATCACAAAAAGTACAACCTTATATACATGTACAATTTTTGCATCGTTGAAGCGTGGGGAAAAAGACGCACGTGTTAGGCGTGCAACGACTTTGCGAACGCTGCGCATACAAAAGTAATTCAAGTTTATGCTCAACATTGCGGTGAAGCCTTTAAGTAAAATGGTAATGTATTGATATTTTAATCGAGAAATATGCCATATGGAACAAAAAGCAACAATTACTTTTTAAGTAACACGCGTATTTAACAGCCTACGGTGTATGATCATTGAATATGAGTCTCAATCTATTTTTAGACTGGGAAAATCCAATTCAGCCAGTGAATATAATACTACACCCAGAACTTATGATTTTATAAAAAGTTCTGTTGACTGCCCGTACGAAAACTTCCGCCCTGAAAAAAGCAGAAATTCCGCCTAGCTACTAGGCGTAATCCGTCTAAGGCATTTCAGGTTTACATATCACAGATTCCTCCTATAAGCAGGAATACGCTGCGAAATATGCAAATTTTCTTAGGAGGAAAACAGTTAGGGTAGCAGGAAAAAAATCCTCCTTAGAAAATTTAACCAGGAAAAAATTCAGCTTAAGGAAAGCACTAGCAGGAGAAAATTCCGCCTTAGGAAAATTCTTAGCCGGAAAAAATTCCGCCTAAAATATTTTAACCAGGAAAAAAATACCTACTTAGAAAATCACTAGCAGCAGAAAATTCTTCCTAAGGAATACTAGCAAAAAAATCCGCCTAAGGAAATGAAGTTATTCAATTTTGTGATAGTACACTAATAAAGCTGAATTATGGATGGATACAACATTATTATTTAGCTGCATAAGAATAATTGGAATCCAAAATTGCAGACAGACAATAGGTGATCACAATTACAAAGCTTTTAAGTTATTTTTGTGAGCTTTACCATAATGTATTTTACATTAGGGTGCATGTACAGTACTAAAAGAGTCACACAAAAAACAGAAACACGAGTTATATTTTTTATTGCACTGCTATTGTATTGTTTTAATCGATGGCAAATTATTTCATTTTATTTCACTGTAAATGTTTTTTGTTCAGCCAGTTGTTTTCATTTTTATTCCAAGCATAACTGATCTGCTTTAAGTTATGGCATCGTTAATATCCTTGTCCTTGACTCCTCCTCTCCCATTCTTTTTACACCAGCTTGAGACATATCCTGAAACACAAACAGTCATCAGTAAAACACTGCCACCACTAATATCTTATATTATTGTTTCTTGTCATTGTTTGCAGTTATAATTATACATGCATTTAAACTATAATTCATTACAACCAAACTTAGTGTTACAAATTTACTCTCACTCAACTTAATGCAAAATTATTTAATTTATTTGAAATATATTTTTATTGTTTAAATGTATCCAAAAGTTACTTACCTGAATTTTTATGATATTGGTATTTATCTTCTTATCCAAGGTCATAATGTAGCATTCAAAATTCATTTACAACTGAGCATATCCAGATTATTGTCATTTTCATTCACAAGGTTAAGTCTTATTTTTTTTTCTTTGAAAAATTCAAAAATATTCAATCCTTACACTTTAAACAAAATATTATCTCAAAAATTGCTTATATATTATCACCACAATTTTTATATAACTATCAATAAAATCCTTTGTTATTTGCTTTCTTTCCACTGTCTCAGCTTCTGCTGACCCATATATCCTAGATTTCAAATTATGGACAAGTCCATGATATGATGGTAAACAGGGATAATCCAACCCATCGTTTTATTTTCACAATTATATAAAAATACCAGAAAATAAATGGAAAAAGAATCCAAAATTCATAATAAATATCTTTAAAAAAAACTTTGCAAAGTCCTTCTTTACAGACTCATCATATAAAATGTACAAAGTAACTGTTGCTTCCCCCCAAATAAATCACATGGAACAGTCTGGACGCTGTAGCAGAATTTACTATCTGACCTGTGTGTTATCAGGTCTATGGTGTTAAATCATAGTAGAGTGGTTACTAGAGGCAGTATTTATTTATTTATCCTGGTGATAAGAAATTTTCAGGGATATTACTCATTTGATTATATTACATTAAAGAGCTTAATATATGAGTTTAGTTCATACCCAAATTTAACACAGTGAAATATATTCTATGCAAAAGTCATCACAACATCATTATATATGTTCTAAGTTTTAGTTTTGTTGTGGAGTTTTCTTATCAATTAATGATTATGTATGTTTATGTTTGTACAAACAATATTTTAGTTTTGAAAATTAACAATGAATAAAAGCAGCAAAATAATTGTTGATCACTTAATATTCGATTTATCATTTACCTGTCATCTGCAGAAATTTCTCCAAATTCAGAAATCTGTCTAGTAAAATTTTCTAAGTTCAATTTCTGGTTAACAAAAAACTCTAAGTACATAATTCCTGTTAACAAAAAACTGACAAAATTCTAAGTCCTAAAACCCGTCTAAATTATTGCTCATCCCATATTTTCCGCCTAAGCCTTAGGCGGAATATGAAATTGCTTAGCAGGATTTTTTACAAAATTCCGTGTCCGTCTTAAATTAGCAGGAAAATCTTATATACACGGAAATTTTAAGCGTTTTCCTGCTAATATTAGGCGGAATCCTGCTATCTTTTTCGTACGGGTACTGTTTGGACCAATGAGATTGCAGATATATTTAGATCATATAATAATGTTTGGTGTTTAATGATGTTATGTAATATGTAAGTCATTTTGATGATATTGTATGGTGGGCATACAATTTTGGGTGTTTAATGATGTTATGTAATATGTAAGTCATTTTGATGATATTGTATGGTGGGCATACAATTTTGGGTGTTTAATGATGTTATGTAATATGTAAGTCATTTTGATGATATTGTATGGTGGGCATACAATTTTGGGTGTTTAATGATGTCATGTAATATGTAAGTCATTTTGATGATATTGTATTGTGGACATACAATGTTGGGTGTTTAATGATGTTATGTAATATGTAAGTCATTTTGATGATATTGTATAGTTTTTTGTTTTTTTTGACAAGCTTTTTGTGTTCCATATTAATTAACAGTTAGATAATACTGGATTTTCAATATAATATTTGATTAACAAGTAGTTGAATAATATCTATAATTATGTATGGAAGATAAATGATTTTGATATGTTAAAAGTGATACGGAAATCTCATTTTGACGATGTTAAGGGAGAAAAAAGTTGACATTTTCAGATAGTTAAATACCTTGTTGATATCAAATGATATTAAGGCATTGATGATTATGATGATAATGATATTAATGCGCACTGAGACATCTGGTAGGAATGATATATTTTATCTATCATTTTCATTTTCTTTGTGTGTATGTGTTTAAACATTACTGTGTTAGGGTTAGGGTAATCTAAATAGCAAAGAGCTTTTGTTTGAAACAGTTCGCAAATTTATTGTTATAAACAATACAAAAATGCAAACAAATTTGTGATTGATTCAAATTTTCAAGTATAAGGTTATCTTAACTAACAGGACTAATGATGGGCATAGATTTTTCTAAACTATTAGAATATATTTTATTCTATCATTTTCTTCCGCGCTTCATTACCGTTTTGGCGGAGTTTGCAAAAACACTCTACTGTACACTGTATTGAGCAAAAACGGGTTGCAAAACAGCTCTCTTCAATATATTCACCTTTAAATAATTATGCCTAATAAAAATTTCATATTCATAGTGGAAGCAAAACCCTGCGTTGGGTTTTATTTACTCTGCACAGGTATTATAAAACATCTTAAATAACTCTTAAATAACAACTATTTTACAGGATTTTTATTTATAAATAAATAGAGTTTATGATTGAATGCGTCTAAAGTATTTCAGGAATGAAACAATTTAGTAACCTTTAACCTTCTCATTATGTGACAGGAATGAAAAATTTAGTAACCCTACACCTTCTTATCATAAGGGCGGAGCTACGGTTTCTACCGAAACCTCTTCTCACTGGTGTCCCCGTAAGTACCTACCGCTAATGGTGGGTCAATAGCGATTACCTACCTGTTGACATTTAGTCGGATTTGTTTAAAATTGAACATCAGTGGGCATATTTAAATTACAAATTGTTGTCAGACATATTTTCAAGCATAAGAGTACCGGAACAGACATTAGATGTCAAATATATACATTCGTTTTACATTATTTCTGTTTCTGTTTACATCTGTAAACCTCATGGTAGAACTATTTTCAATCCGTATTGTTTCCGAGGTTATCATAGATAATAGCCGAGGCAGTTCCGAATGGCAAAATATTTCAGCAGGTGTCGCTTTGTCGGTACATCCCGTTATTTTCCGGATGGTCCCGCTATTTTTGCACGTGGAGTAAACAAAGTTATGTCCCCTTTATATAGGGGCGTATACCGTTCAGTGTTAGTTGGGGGCTGTCATGTAAGTGGAAGATTTTGAGAAAAAAAAAAAAAAGAAAACGATGCGACAGGGGAAAAGTGCGTGTTTTTGAAGATTCAGCATGTAATAGATGCCTCTTATGACTCATCTTACAAGTTGCAAAACACCTCGTATACATTGCTTTTACACCTTTTTGAGTGTGTGCCGAAGTCGTATATACAATAGTGAAATTGGATTTAAAGATTGATTCAAAGTTGATATTTGAAAATATTGATTGTTGCTTCACAGTCTGTTTGTAACATAAAATAAATAGCATTTGGCTTCACACAAATATTTTGCTTTAAATCCTATATACACTATAAGTGTGCACTATGAATATAGTGTTATTAAAATAATATGGCAGTTTTTTTAAGAAAGGCACAACTTTACTTGACCCGTAAGGAATGCAGATTCCCATACATTGTGTGTATGTGTTTTTATTTAAATAAGACATATTCAGTAAGAATCTTATATATTTCAATAAGAAAGAAATTGATATTACCGAGCCAGACGGGTAATATATACATTAAATTTCCCCGATGGGTACCCCACGTTGTAAACAACATGCGCCGTGCAATGCGCGTACGGTTTGATTTTACGCGATATAAATTCCGATTTACAAGCACTTTAACTGTCAAATGATAAATATTTACCAAAATAGAGTAATGATACATATTCTCATCAGTATAGAAAACAAATATGACCTTGTGAAAGCTTGATATTAATTTCAAAAAAGTGCGTTCAACAGACTACTCCTTTTCTCTTGTTTACATCCGTTATGTTCGAAAGATAATACGTCATGTATTTATGTGACGTCATGTTATGGTGAAGGGGTATCCTAAAGGGAATCTTATTTCGACGTTTCATTTGAATTAGCAATGATTTATTTTAAAATCGTCTTAACTCGGCACGGGAAGGGTAATAAAATTATTATTTTGGTTTCAAAATA